TCAACTTTGGTTCCAAGTTAAGAGTCATTACCATGCAAGAAAATGTTAAAGAACCAAAGAAAACACATGGCAGGATGTTTGCATAGCATTCTCTTCATTCATTCACATGTCTACCAAGATTAAGCATGATGTTTACAATAACCTTGACTAGATAATCTGTAGGCAACCCTAATGGTGATCAGACATTAAAATTGACAAACAAATTTAACAATAGATTCAGTGAATGAAACAAGAAACAGATTGATGAACTGAATACTTTAACTTAGAAACATGGATCAATGTTGCAAGGCTACATCGAAATCCCTAGCTATGAATTTAGTTACACATCATGTTCACAAAGATTAAAACGAAAATAAACAACATGAGTGAAAATAAATTCATGAGAGGAAACCCTTGAACCAATTCTGATGTTGAACTTCTCCAAGAACAGCCTCCTGCGATGAGTCTTGATGGTGGAAATATATGGGCGGCTAGGGTTTTAAGTGTGTGTGAAAGGGGAGAATAACAAAAAGAAGGATGTTTAGGGTTGTGAAATTCGTCCAAAATAAATAGGGTCTGTGAAAGTGGCTAAAAGGCAAGTTTTTATGGGGTAAAAGAGGCTGTCAGATATTCCAAAGAGATCCTAATAAATCAGCCTTTATTTTGCACGTTTTTGCCTTATTTGGCACCTCCAAATCAGGCTAGAAATCCCCATTACTTTCCCATTCCGCTCTTAGTCTTTAAACAAGCCAGGTTCACTTTGGATCTTTATTTGGACTTCAAAACAGGTCACGAAATTTGTTTCCCCGTTTGAATAATGGTCAGCTCCAAAAATGACATGTTTTGATTTCTTTTGCCTTCAACTTGATCCTAAAGTAGGTGCAACTGCATACTAACACAAAATAGGGTAAAACGCAACATGTTTAACTCAAAAACATCACAAATAGACTAGAAATGGATGGTATAAATGTATAAATATATGAGTTATCAGTAGTTCTAGGAAATTAATAATTTTAAACACATATTAATCCAATCCTCGTGGGAATAATCTCGTATTTGCTTTCTATACTATTTGTCTGATCTTGTGCACTTGCGAGTTAAAACGCGCATATAGTTGCTTAATTTTTAGGTTGCTATTTCTACAACAACGAGTCAAAAAAACCAAACCCAACGGCTGCTCAAATGTACCCTTTTATCTTTAATCATGTAGTTCAAATATATTAATGCTTTTCCTTAGAAAAATAGTGTAACTCTCATTAAAGAGGACTCAGAAACCATTCTAAGTTCTTGGGCAATCCCCATTTCAATCATTCATTTCATATATCAACAAGATTTTCTTTGTTTGTTGGTTACAAAGTCAATTCTTAAGCACCACCTAATCCATCCAGATTGCTTGAGATACCCGCATTTCTTAAGCCATTTAAAACCACAGAGCTACCGAGCCTAGTGTCACCACCAAGTTATCAAGCTCCGTGAGACTATATCTAACCACGCGCTCATTCTAAAGGCCTTGTGGTTAAGGCCTAGAACCTTGCGACCGAGAATATGTTCCTATCTCCACCAACGAGCCTCACTTGAAAATAAGTCAAGATATCAGCACCCATTTTTACACATGACTACTTGTGACTATGGTACTGGCACGCCATGCACACACAATTAAAGAAGGACATCTTTGTCACCAAATCCGCTTAGACCGCTTGATTGTTTTATTTTGAAAATAACTGATCACATGGCCGAAAATATTTAGAGGTCAACAACAGCAACACCCGTCAAAAATTCAGATTATTAAAAGAGTAATGCTACACTTACCACATTTTTATCCCACATTTCTATACCACATGATGTGGCATATCTATATTATATGCCACATCAATTAAATCAATGAAGTGTATTTTAATTAAGGCAATTAGAAAAACAAATACTTGAATAAATCATAAAATAAAAGAAAATATCAAATAATTTTAATTGATGTGGCTGTCCACCTCAGCTGCCACATAAGATGGTATAAAGATGTGGTATACAAATGTGGTAAGTGTAGCATTATTCTTATTAAAATACATATACAACATGAGGCTCGTTGAGATGGCAAAACAAAATACAAAAAACTAACTGCACCTTGGATACACCTCCGTTTTACAAGCAGAAGTAGTTTTGGCCTTAAAACATGTTCTTATATGGGCACAACACTTACCATAAGAAGATTGAAGTGGAAGGGGACTCAAAGGTACCTATGCAATTCTTGTTGCACAAGGCACAAATTCTGTGGACGCGGCTCTCCATTTTTTAGGACATGCAGGATTTGCTACACAAATTTCAGGAAGTCAGAATTGGCGACGTCTATCAAGAAGCCAATATGGTAGCGGATGCACTTTCTAAAAAGGGGCAAACGATTTCCTCCCACTATCTAGTTTGGCAATGTTTCTAAATTATACTTAGTTTGAATTTTGATTTGTATGGTTTAAAGATCCTTAGATGATCCACTATTTAATTTACTCTTTTAAAAAAAAAAATAGAGGTTCTTAAATCTAAGTCCTAAATGTTTGGTTACCTTGTATCAATGACAACAAATGTGTGGATTAAACTCAACTCTTGGTTGAATTTTTGAATCTATATCAACTTTTCTAACCTTGGATGTCGGTGTTGGGTGAGTAAATCACAATAAAGTATGAGGACAAAATGGATAGCAGAAAATCACTACAAAATGAAGTACAAAGTGGATGTATAGCAGCCAGAGGAAGTGATGACAAGTGAGGCATCTTGGACGCAAAACAAGTGTGACCACTGCCTTGCACCCCCTCTTCCCCTCTCTCCCACATGATCTTTGAAGGTCGAGCTTTTTGCCCAGGAATCAGGGGACAGGTCAAAAGAAGATAAACCTTACTAAAAGCTCTTATATTATAAATGTATATAGAAATCATAATAAATATTAGCTCTTCTTGGAGAGTGAATTGAAAATTGCATGCACCAAGAAGCTTTCAGGAAGGGGCTGGATGATCTTTATACAGAAAAGAGTACTTGCTCATCATAATATTTGAACATCCTCCATAAATTACAGGGTTCAAAATTAACCAATCAAGTACAATGAGATTCTCAAAACTGGCTGTGTTTCTGGTTTTTTCATTTTATTTTGTACTGCTTGTCCATGGGAAAGTGCAGCCCAATGAGCTGAGGGTGAGATCTGGAAACTCTTTCAATGCGGTTAGTACTTTAGTGCATAAGCTCGTCTCTCTCTCTCTCTCTCTCTCTCTCTCTCTCTCTCTCTCTCTCTCTCTCTCTCTCTCTGGAAACTCTTTTAAAAGTTTGGACTTAACCAGTTGCCTCTTATGTTTGATGTTTTGT